TTATTTCATGTTTGTGGAAACTCAGCTTATATCCTTAGGGTCCTCAAAATCTCCTGTCTCCTAGGACCAAAACTATATGAGAGTGAGTATTGAGATACATACGGGCAGTATCTGTTTCAGAAGGAGAAAGTTTGCTGATTATTTTGGCTACTATAGAATTCATATTTTTTTTATTTTGCAGAGTGCAAAGTCATTGTACCATTTTATATTTAAAGTTAAAGTTCATGCTGGCCAATGGAAGTTCATTAATTCACCTAAAATGTACCTTTAACCTTTTGTGCTACTGTTGTTGTGATTCGCTTTATTACAGCTGAAAATGAGCTGGCATTTATGGAGATGCGTACTTGAGAAATAGGTCTCATGTTGCTTATTCCTTGATAGTTAGACTGGAGCAAAGTACATGCTGTCCTAGGCAGAGAGCCTGATTCCCCAGGGTGTGCACTAAGTGGAATTGCATCACCCTAGGCCTTAGCACATCTTTTGTTTGCTCAGACAGTCTTGCTTTTTTCCTTCCTTTCAAAATACTCAGTATCAGGTAACATTTCCTATCACTTTCCTTTCCCCAACAAAGACTCACACTAGAATGGAAACTCAAGACAATGTCATAGCAAAAATATAAGCAAAAGCCAATAAGGATTAAAAGAGTTTCCTGACAAAATAAGAAATGTATATATTGTCTGATGTCTGCAGACACTCTTCAAATAGATCATGACTTAGTAAATATTCCTTTCGTAAATATATCTGCCATAAATTAAGGAATTTGAGATGGAGATGCTTATAAATGCACACATATTAAAAATTAAATATTAAAATCCAATATTTAAGGGTGAAAATGAAAGAAATGGAATTCCATTGGATAAGAGTGGAAAGCAGGGGTTGTCACACTGGAGAATCATTGCTGTTTTGAATTTCATGGGGTCTGTGTTGCTAGCCACTAAGAGCAGTTAGTTTGAATGGAATTGATTAGCTATTTTTGAAAATCATAAAAGACAATGTGTTTATTTAGAATGATCTAACAATTATCCTTGTCTCTGTCATCCAGGCTATATCCTTTCCCATATCTGCACACTGTGGTATTGAGATTCATTACCAAAATCACTCTTGATGTGAACAAATTCAAAGCAAAGGGAAATGAAGTACTTGGGATATTGGTAGCTTGGACCTTGAGTGTTTCAAATACCATAGAGGTTCAAGCCCACATGCTGTTTTACTTGCTGGTTTTTACCTGGAATAAGCTATTTATTTGCTGAGTGTTTCTGTTTCTTCATCTGGAAATGATGAGGAAAATGAAAACACCTACTTCTTGACATTATCTCCAGGACTAAATGCGTTGGTTCAGTAGAAAAGTGTTGTGACTGAGTTCAGTACTTGGTAGACGTGACATTTGTATCTGGTCAGGCAGAAATGAAGAAAACTCTCTATGTTCACTCCCCTTGAATGGGCAGATTGCTTATAGGTGCTGTGTTCTTTGGGAAAGTGCTTGTCCCCATGCGTTGCAAAGTGAGAAGGTAAGAATCATTAAGGAAAGGGCAGACTACACTTCAGGGCTCAAAAGTCTCAGTTCAAGAGACCTGCAGAGAATGTCTCTGTTGTCTGGCCTCTGTATTGAAGCAATTTCAAGAGGTCACATTGCTCATTCCTCTGAGCTGGGTCAATTGGACTTCACCGCTGTTCCCTGTCTTTCATTGAAAATCATTTGTTTAAGGAACTGTGCAAGGTGTCTTACAAATGGAGTTAGACAAGGGTTTTAGCACATTCTACAAATTGGATTCTGTATACTTGTAAATTATGCTGACAGGCACTCTGAGAACACAATGAGGTCAACCAGCCTTACTAAAAATGGCCTTTTGTGCTGAACACAATCCCAAAATGGAGAAGAGATCCCAAAGACACCAAATTAATGTGGACAGAAAACGCTTGCTCAATTCAATCCAAGACTAGGATTAAATTTCAATCAATCTTTTAAAAATATTTATTCTTATTATTTTTAATTATGTTTATGTTTGTCTGTCTGAAGGATCAGCTCACTCTGGGGCTAGAGTTACAGGTGTTTGTGAACAGTCTGGCCTTGATGCCAGGAAGCGAGCTCTTCTTGGTGAAAGATCAGCACGGCTTCCTAACAGCTGAGCCACTTCTCCAGCCCCCTAACGAACCACGGCAGGAATTAGTGATCAAAACTGTTAAGATGCAGAGTCCCAGGATTCTACAGATAAGGTTATGAAGAACTTACCATATGAAAATATATTGCATTTTGTAAGTGTAAGAAAATTATTAAAACGTAATTTATAATTTTAGTAGTTTGCAGTTTTAGAGGACAAGATATACAACGAAGTGAGACAAAACAGACTGAAGTACTATGAGTTTAGCCTAAAAGTTCACTGATGGACTGACTGAACCAATCTATTAAAATTTAACTCATTCATTATCATCATGGAGTGCCACATCCTTAGATGGAGCCCTCTCCATAGGATATGCCAATACTGATAAGCCCAGTTACTTACTAATTTCTACACTATAGGGTATAGGATGAAAATGGGCTCCACTTGAGAACCAGAGGGTCTGAATTAAAACACAGACCAACTAATTTTACAGTAGGTGGCTTGATTAAGTAACTCCCATCTCCCAACTTTATTCCAGAAATCAGTGCCATTATTTATTTCCTTCTGCTATCTCATTTCACATGCAGTTAATCAACAGATTAGTTCTTATGCATGTCTTGATAAAAATCTCATCTCCTCATCCCAAACCCTAGTCCTAACCCCAGCTGTCATAATTTATTATGGAATAGGGACCCCAAATAATCACTTCCTATCACCTACAAGATATGTCACTACCAAGCAAGACATTTAAGACTGTAGTGAACCAAAAGCTGATTTTTTTTTTACTTCATGCAATCCTTATCTGTGTTCATCCCCATGCTTCTCCAACACTAGCCTGTTGCATGACTATGCACTTTTACATGGTAGTTTTTAATGTTGAAGTTTGAAATTTCATCCCCAATCTCACTCCTCCAGTCTCAGCTAGGAAACCAAATGTTTACTCTTCCAACACTTTGTATGGATACCATCTTCTTTATGAAACATGCATTGAGGACACTGGACACAACAATCCTCACAGCATCACTCAAGGAAATTGTAGCCACAGTACATCTCTTTATCCCTCTATTAGCATACCACCATCTGTATAGGTGTCAATTATCTCAAGAGGACTAAAAACCAGAGGACAAATGAGGGACATACATTTTGTCTTTGAAGTTTCCAGTCTTCATACAATGTCTACTGTGGAGAAGCTGTGCAAAAAATACTTCCAGTAACAATGACATCAGATTTTGTGAGAAATGGAAAGAACCATGCTTTGGGGTAGAGGGTAGCATATGTTATAGGACCAGAGAGACTTTGAAAATGTTTCAGTTTTGTAAGCTTGGGATGCTTGGAGATGAACATATGTAGTTAGCATATCAGTATGGGTGTTCTTTAATGTATAAACCTTTGCCAGCTCAAGCTTTGTCTTTTCCAGTCAAGACTCTTGATGTAATACTCCCAAGCTTGGTGAATAATTATTTATTGTATTATTTGGTTTAACGAAAGATATTCATCATCTCTCTTAGAGGAAGAAGGTGTACTTTGGAGAAGACCCTGTCCTTATCCTGAAGTATGATGTTCAACTTAAAATACTTGGGCCTTTAAGTGACTCACAGGGCTTCCTTCCAACTCTACAACATATTTCACAGAAATATTGGTATGCACGTTGTATATTCAATATCTCCTGAGCATACTACAAAGTACGTAAGTATAGTTTTGACCCGTAACAGAAAACGTGTGACAGCCCTTGACACTTCACAGCTTTTTACTCCTTCCTGCCCACAGCAGGTCATCCCAGGCTGGCTGCAAAAGTAACAGCTTGGACATCTTTCCACCCCAAATTGTGTCTGCTTCAGTTTACCAGTGGCAATTAACATCCTAGCCCCTCTGCTAGATTTCTTATATGTGATTTATTAAAGGTAATTACTATAATACTTCTTGAAATGACTGTTCTCATCTTAATTATTGCACGTTGCCAGGATATGTTAAAATAGAGAGAGGCATGGACAGTAGTAAAGACACGAGTCACGGAAATCTGGACCACAGTGGGGAAAAGAAAGAAGAAATCTAGACTGTAGCCGTCGACTTTAAGGAAACCATTGTCTATTATTGTAGAGACAACAAGCAGCTTTAGTATAAATGTTTGATTTGGCAATACATAATGGTTTGGAACTAGGGAAATTGTCTTTGAGGCTTCAGTGCTTTATATCGTATTTTTTTAAAAATTACAAAGAACTCAACGGAGAACCCTGTGATATCTGTAGATCTTCAATCTGAAAATCCCTGCATAAGCAGAAGGTATTAGGGGGAAAGTGAGGTGCTCTGGAAGGATCTAGAGGAAGCACTTCCAGCTGGAAGCTCGCTCAGAGCCTCTGAGCCCTAGCTAGAGGCATAACAGACAGAATTGAAGGCGTGGGCAGAAGAGCAAACTTGGAAGCAGAGAGCTGGCTCGCTTTTGTTTCATCTCTGTACCAAATGCCCAAGGGTTGCTTCCAGCCCTTGGGTGTATGCGCTTTGGGAATTTTCAGTCAGTTCTCAGCGTGTAACGCCAACTGACTTGCTCAAGGCCAAGCCAGATATCTTTTACTCCTCCTCCTCCTCCTCCTCCTTCTTCTTCTTATTTTAAAGATAAGCAACTTTGTTTTCTAGGCAAAACCCACCCACTTGTTTTCATTTCTGGCTTTCTCTCATCCCCGGCTAGTGAAGGCAGAGCATGTGCCCAGGAGAAGACCACCCTGGGTAGTGAGGACCATCCTCTTTAGAACTGCGGTTGTAGCTGCCAAGGAGTAGCCAACAAGCACCAGATTTATGTGCACTTTGAAAGAAGCACCTTTACCATTGGCTTTTTGAGCAGCGCTGTCGCTAGGGAGCGAGCACCGCCTCGGGGAGCAGCCTGGGCACTGGCTCCTGGCAGCCCCGGAGCAGGGCGCACACCGTGGCGCGCTTTGGGCGGCTCCGCGCGCTGTCGCCCCTGCGACCGGCACTGTCCCCCAGCTCGGCTTCCAGAGTCGCTGCATAGACTCTCGCCTCTGGCCACCGGCTCCTACTGCTGCCGCCCAGAGGACAGACGAGCCTCTGCCCGTGATTTCCCCGCGGCGCGGCGCTGCGGAAAGCGGAGCGGGTGGGCGCGAGCTGCAGGACGCGATGGAGTTCTCCCCTCGCCTCGGAGTTGCCTGAGTTAGTAGAACCTCGCGGGGTTCCCTGCTCCCTGCTCCCTGTTTCCTTCGGGCTCCCGGCTCATCATTCACTCGGTTGCTGCCCACCGCTGTGCCAGGGAGCCCAGGCTCCAGACCTCTTGTCCCGGGTACATTTGGGGGCAAAGGAGGGCTAAACCCAGCCAAGGCGCACTGTCTTCTCTCCGCGGACCCATCTTTTTCTCCATGGCGTCTCGTCAACAAACCCGAATCCAGGCTTACCTGGAGAAAAACAAGATCGGTCCTCTGTTTGAGGTAAGGATCCCTGGTGGGGAACGACCTCGCTGCCTTTTGGGGTTGGGGTGCAGAAATACAATCAGAATCCCCCTAAGTGAAGGTAGGGTGCAGAGCAAATGCGCGCGAGAGGGAGCCCTGCCCGGCTAGCTGTTCTGGAAGGCGGCCGGCGGCACTTGGCCAGTTACCTGGACACTGACAGGTGCGCTCTGGAGGGTCCAACCTTAGTCTAGCAGGACAGTTGGAGCCATCTGACTGTCCTGCATCTAGTAGCCATATGGTAGGGCTCACACAGGGTGAGACATGTTCAGTTCAGATGTACATCTTCTGACTGTCTTACACACACACACACACACACACACACACACACACACACACACCTGGAATTCACACTCTCTTGAATTTTAATTTTTTTCTTTTAAATATGGGCAGTAATAGAACCTGAAAAGATGGAGGAAGTGCCCATGGAGAAAGAATATGTTAAACTGGAGGGAAGCTGGTCCATTGGGAACCTGACAGTGATCTGTGGCTGTAACTGGAGTCCTTTGCATAGCAGAACCTACCTGTGTTCAGAGAGGAAAGGGGCAGAGAAGGGTTTTAGGAAAGCATGCCTGTTTTCTGAGGAGGCTGTCTTGAGTTGTTTTCTTTTGCCTTCAAATAATTGACTACAAAAAACACAGGGGAGGTAAAAAGAACGGGAGCAAGAGCAAAATTGCGACCTAGGTGCAGAAAACTGGGTACTCTCTCGCTGAGTCCTCAGGTTGCCAGGGTGCTGGCTGGGTGCTGGAGATTGGGGAGTGAGGTCAGGTATTCGGGTGGCAAGGCTCACCAGGGAGGGATGCCCCAGGTTCCTTACTCTCGTGGTGGTCCACTATTCTAGATGAGCACCAGCTAGAGGTGAGCCAGAGGAGGGACCTCCCTCCCTCTCCCAACACACACACCTGGAAAGCAGCTGCAGATCTCTTAGGCTGAAGAGCTGGGGAGAAAGGGGAAGAGGCAGTACTGGCAGCTTCTTGGACACCAGGGTGGCAGAGATCTGCAGAGAGAGAACAGTAATGCGAATTAATGTCTCTGCTTGAAACGGCTCACAGGGCAAGGGGGTCAAGTAGGTCTTTTTTCCGGGGGAGGACAGGTTTCAAGTAATGGCTTTTCAAAATCCTGAAGTTTTCCTGCCCAACCTTAAGTTAATGCGGTAATATCTTGAAAAGTCTGAGCATTGTTCCTACAAAAACTCTGTTAAAGAGACCACAAAGTCTTGCGGGTCTCTTATTTTTTTTTTCTGTTGTTGTTTGTTTCAAAATGCTGGCAAAGGAACTCTTGCTTCTGCTAAATTGGTACCCTCCAGTCCTGTGAGCCTTCCTTTACCCTTAGTGTAATGATTACAAATTACAAGCAGCCTCACATCAGCAAAACATGGAAAGGTAGAAGCTGAATATCAAATAGTATATAAACTGCATCCAAATAACAACACAAACACATTTAGACTGTATTCATTGGCTGGCATCCTGGAATATAAAGCACAATTAGCCTTGGAAAAATAAGGGGATTTCTTTTAATAGACACCCTGATTCTCACATTTTAAAACTCCCATTGTTCTTTCCAAGTGATAATAATGGAATTAACTTTCCACATATTTAGGAAATAAGCTCAGCTTGATATTTATGAGTTGTCTTCTCCTCTTTAATGATCAGTGGCTAATTCCTCACTGAAGTGACAGAGGAAATTGTTTCATGAAAACTTCATCTCTCCTCATCTAAACCCAACACAATTCTTTGCTTTGTATTTTACTGAATGCACATTACAGAATCCCTGTTGGCCTGGGTTGAAGTGATGGGTAGTTAAGTTTTAAGGGCTGATGTGCACTTTCCATAACTGAAGTGATCAAACCATAGGAAGTCCTCTGCTCAGAGCAGGCTGGGCTCAGATGCTCAGGCAACAATTGTGTGATACAGCTTGGCTCTGAGTTAGCCAATGATACACATCTGGGGACTCTCACCGATTTGTCATCGATTTCTCCTCAAGTTAGAGAGTCAGTGTAGAAGTCAGATGTGGTGGCTACACTTGTCATACTGGTACTTGTGAGGCTGCAGAACAGTGATCACCATGGTCACCAGGTCAGTCTGAGCTATACAAATAATTCAAAGGTAGTCTGGGCTCCAGAGCAATGCCTGTCACAAATACAGCAAGCCCCCAAACTAACTAAAGCAAAGCAAAGCAAAGCAAACCAAACCAACCAAACAAAAAACCAGAGTGCAGAATTACAATCTATGAGATAGATGTTGGTGATCTAAAATTCCCGTGACTCAGTGATTCTCAGAACTGACTCGGAAGCTCAGTGGAGGCTCCCTGGGATGTGGACCAAGAGTACTACAACAGATTGCTACAGTTCTTGGGCCACATTTTCAGAAATAATAATGCAAGCTTCAATTTCCTTTAATAACCCACCAGTTAAAATAGGCATCTCACATGCTTATCACCCACACTGTTGTCTGGAGGGTCAAGAGTTAGTAGCACAGAGTTCTTCGGTTATCAAAACATGCAGTATCTGAAAGTGTGTCCCACTGTGGGCTTTGTGTGTGAGGAATGTTAGGAGAAACACTTTTTTCTTTCAATAGTGAAATACTTTAAAGAGAGCTTATTACATTTATTTAAAGAATATCAAATAGGAAAGATAACCTCCTCCTTGGTTGGATGTTATCTGGATTTTCTGAATTTTTTTTAAGACTACACAGCCATGGCTATCCTGGCTAGAGCTTCATAGGTAGACCAGGTTGGCTTCCCAGGGATCCACTTGCTTCTGCCTCCCAAATGCTGAAATTAAAGGCTTGCTTCACTATGCCAGGCTTGAATTTTTTAAAATTTGCTTACTCAGTTTCTGCACGTAGTTTATCTCTTAGTATTGGCTTTATCACTAATACTTTGTCATGTGTGATGCTTTAAAAAATGCTGTATTCACCTCCAAAATAAATTGAAACTAACTTTGATTTGAAGTGATCTAGAAACATACATTCAAACTGCCTTTAAATATGACTAAAATCAGTTTGAAGCATTACAAACCGTGCCTTAACAATCGTTGCATAAGAGTCCTGAGTGATGATATTTTAAAAGATTATGAGCATACGTAAGATGAAAATGACTTGCATTCCACAAACTCTGAAATTTATGTAGCATGTAATAATTTCCATTTCCCTTTGGCTTATTAAAGACAGGCAAGCAGTCTGGGCATTTAGTTTATCAGGAGTGTTTCACAGAGCTGTCATACCATAGAACTGTAACTTTGCTCACTTTAAAATTTACATATAAGTTCTTATTTAACTGGTAAGGTATAAAACAGTTCATGTCCCATGAAAGTGGAGTAGTTTTATAACGTATGTACAGTGTGTGGTGTGAAAACAGAGTTGTATCAAACCCCAAGGCCAGTATGTTGATATCTTTAAAAAAAATACAGTGCTTAGAAATTCTGCACCTGAATTGCCTGACATTTACCTGCATAGGGAACTAGCATGGCCCCTTTTGTCTCTAGTAGAAACTATTTAACTTAGTTCCTGAGAAATTATGTGATGTGGAGCATCAAAATCTCTCATTTTTCATACAAGAGCTATGCACTTTCTGTTTTCACCCATTTTCATTAAATATACAGTAATTATTTACTGGTTACTAGTTGGAAAGATACTCAAGGTAGCCATGCATGCATGCTGGTTCTAGCTTCACCTGAGAGTATGACATCCTGAACTAGTTCAAAGTAGAATAGTAAGGACACTCACATATTTTCACAGAAATTTCAAGTCTATGTGTGCTGACTGTGTGGCCAGCTAAACTCACTATATTTCTTTGAGTGTGGTCTAACTCTTTCCAAGTAGAATGGAGTCACTTTCTCATCACATTCATAGTTCAGTGTCCTACTACTCATATGGCCTAAATTTGTATGAACTGATTTGCTGCATACAGGGTGAGTTGGACTCATGACCAGATCTGGGGCATCCTGGGACCCGTCTTTGTACATTATGCTATTGTACTGCTTGCTCATCTCTGGTACCTACACATATGGAAGCCCAAACTCCAGTCTGCTTCCATCCTTCCCAAACTCATGACTTTTCTTGGTTAATATAAGTTATAGTCTGAAAAGTATGCCCTGTTCTTGTTATGGAGCCGTCCTCGATGTGGAGATGTACACATGGTGATGGCTGTGGTTGGCATATGGCTATATAGGGTACAGGAGGCTACAAGTCACTCCTTGCTAAACTCAAGAGGTGAGCTCCATGCCCACATAATTCTGAAAGACTTATGTAATTTTAGTAAAATGCTTCCAGGGGAGAAGTCATAAAAATAACAGCTTGATACTTAGAAAGTCTTCAAGTTAATGATAAGCCAATACATTTTTGGAGCAACTTGTCAGAGATTACCCTCCAGATCTTGAATTTATAAAGACTTTTCTTGTTTCTAAATTTATATTAATCTTTATAATCCTGGAACAGTTAGAGAACCATATATAAGATAAGATATTCATTTAAATAAAGTTTTTCTAAGTCAAAGTTAATACATTTCTATTAATTTACCTTAAAATAATCTTAAAAATGTATATGACATGTTTTAGGATATTAGTCCATTTATTTTTCAATTATACCTCATTCTGTCTTCTTTTCAGTTAGTTTATAAGGAAATAAAATGACTCCAAAATGAAATAGTGCTGGGGATGTAGCCCAGTGGGAAGCACTTGCCTTTTATACACAAGGTCTGTTTCAGTCCTGAGCACTCCTGTCACCAACAAAAGAAGATAAAAGCCAACCAAAAAATCCCATAAAACAAACTTTAAATAGCTTATCACATAATTTTAAAAATAATGAAAGATGCACACAAAAATGGTATCAACATATTTGAAGACGTTAGTAATGTCTCAGTGTTTGAAAGTCTATTCTAAGAAACTGTGACCCATGGAAATATGGGGCTTTGAAAATAATCTGGGCCTCCTTATTTCCTTAATATTTAGAATAACAGCCGTCAGGCAGAATCATACAATGAGC